GTAAATAAGTTCTAGACTGCTGCCGTTTAGCAGGTTTTCGATTTCCTTTCCAGGTATGTTTGTATTCTTATAGCCCCATCTGGTGGAATGGGCGTTGACGTCTCCTAATACTGCAGTTTTGTGTGAGATGTTCAGAAAATCGAAGTTGGGACTATTCTGGGGTGGATTTTAGACAGCATATATCTTGAAATGTTTTAGATATTTCGCACATGTCTTGCGTCGAGCCTATACTCTTGATTAGATTATGGACTAGCTATAAGAGCAATCGCCCTCTTCAGGGCGAATCAACTTCTACAGATCCTTCAGTAGAATGCTGGAGGGATGCCACAGGATAAAGACCTTAAAACGTAATCTGGAATTAACACTTGCTAGTGATCCGACTATTAATGAATGCAAATTCTTTTTAGATCTAGAATTTTATTGGACCCTCTAGAGTAAATGAACGCGTGAATCACTTTCTAAACTACTTATTGCAGGTTGTGTGGTCAAATTGGGCTTATAATTAAGGCCATTCATATAGGTTTCTATCAGATGGAAGGCTTTAGGGTAGTTATCATTAGCCCTGTAGTTGGCTTCGGGCTTCACAGAGGGGAGGTACATCAAAGACAGAATAATGATTCACAGATGTTAAAGAGTCAGACAGACACAAAGGCAGGAAAAAGGTGAGGTAAGTACTGTGAAAGGGGCTCATGGTAGTTTGAAGTCAGAAGTCAACTACCGGTTTATAGACTCTTTTTGGCGTATGAGTATACGTTGCTCAGGGTGCACCATGTAGAGGTAGGTCTATCAAATGAACTAGCGTGCTAACCAATTCACGCCACTGTTTATGTACCAATGAGCAATAATCCCAGGCAATATTTTGATTGGTGCAAATTATTGTTCTGGTTCCATAATATTGTCAAACTAACCTAAACTTCAGTCCTACTAATTAGTTCAAATTGGCAAGAAATTGGTAGAAAGGCAAAAATACGTTTACAAAATAATAATATATTAAATAATTTGATTACACGTGAAAAATGTCGTTTTTCAAAAGAAAATAATTATTTAACCTTCAGAACACCGGTTTGCTTTTCTTAATGAGGTTCAATTTCAAAGAGGAATTGTACAGCGCAGTTAAGCACAAAAATTCCTAAAGTAGCATAAAATAGACTTAAGAAAGATGTCAAAAATTAGCTATTTTCGCTCACCAGTCATGGAGTAATGAATCAGAGAAGGAGGATGTTTTTATTAGAATAAAAACAGTCACCATTGAAAGTAAAGATAAGAGACGATGTACAGATTGTCTCATGGCAGCGGCTTCTGCATTATTCTGCATCATTTTGGAGATCAGAAATGAATGGTTCTTTTTGAAAATTGGTGGCTGGATCAATGGGTGCTTTAAAAACAGGTGAACAAATTGAAATAGTTAGCGAGTGCTTCTCAGAGTAACACTTAAATATTGAGTCTACTACTAGTCAAACGGTCTACCAAATCGATTTTTTTGTAAGAATCTTTTGAGATAATGCATATATATATATATATATATATATATATATAAATTGACACGGGCATCACCTTATGGGTTCAAACGTTGCCCATAGGTAGCTAGACTTTGTACCTTTGGTTTGTCTTAGCTCATCACTTTGAGTACTTCTCGATCAGCACCAATAACCTTTAGACATTAGTAATTCGAGTTTAATGTTAGGCATAAAACAAATTTAGATTAAAACCTACTCTACAGAGCTATAATATATGCTTGAGTGGTTGAATTTGGCCGATAAAACCGACTTAATCGGGGCTTGAATGACCCCTGCAAAATCTAAATTTTCCTTATTTATCCCCCTCCCCCTCCCCTAGTTGTTCAACTCTCTCTATGTGCTGTTCCTTCAGACAGCAACCCCGATATAGCCGCTCTTTAAACATGCACACAGTCATGGCATCGTCTCTCAACCTCAGAAATTATTATTTCAACGGGACTACTCCAACAAATGTAGCCCATTCCCTTACCTTCCAGGTCAGCCCTAGTAGTATATCTTCTGGTCTAACCTGCCTTTTTCTTCCTGTTATTTTATGACAGAAGAGAGTTTAATGGAAGAAAGATTTTTATTAAGAGCTACTGGAGATCAGTTACCCGAAACCTGGTTTCGAATACCTTTAAAAATAGACTAGAAGTCACTTAATAATGACCTTCATTTTGTTGAACAGTAAAATTTTTGCACGGCTAAATTGGAACGACAGTTCAATTTCAAAGACATTACTAAGAATTACTGGTAAAGCTGAAGCCGACATTCGTGTCAATAAGTGTCCGGGATTTCAAGCAAATCATTGTTAAGTACCTTAAACGTCATAACTGGGTCAGGTCACATTATATGCACTCAGTCACAATTCATCTATTATACCTTTGAGTAGCCAATAACATTACATTTTTTCAATCTTCTTCGGCCAATCATATCCCACTAAATCCGATTCAAGCGCATATATAGATTCAAACATACTCCAACATATATACCTGGTCTTTATAAAAAAAACGTATGGTCTGTTTAAATTCCTCTATCTTGTCTCTGAGCTGTCAAAAAATGTGTACCACAATGCTTAATACTCAGCTTAAGAAACGATAGATGCTAACATTGAGTTTTTCTTTCACGCAAGTGTGTTGATCAAAATTATTGCATGAATTTCAATCTATTTACTTACGATTTAAAAATTTTTTGACAATGAAGTAAATAGAACACAGTGTTCTGGCAAATGCTCAACTACAACACACTGGAAATTTCCTTAAGAGCAAATACATAAACCTCTCATTTTTAAGTTAATATTTGAGTTGAAAAAGGAAGTCTTATTTGACTTTAATTTAACAACGCAGATGCCTCGTTTCGTCGAAGTGTGGATTTAAGTTGAGGGAAATAATGTACTACAAGACGGAGGAAGGCATTTTGGTCATTTAAATGATTAGGCTTTCCTCCGAACAATGCGCTTCTGGAAGAAAAAGTCATAAGGGGTAAAATGAGGGGTTTTAGTTAACGATTTAAGCATTACTACTAGTAGATAGTGCTAGGTATAGATGGCAATCCGTGAAAAGTGTACATTTCATTCTTAACAAAGACCGTAGCAAGGTTGGACCGGGGTCAACGAATTGTGGACTTAAGAGGAAAATGACAAGCGTCAGCTTTTCAAGCCAACTTTCCAAAGAGTAAGAACAAAATAACAAATTCCAGTTGCTTTGACAAAAATCCTAGTTGAATATTTTTTGAACAATGATTAAATTCAAACGAAATACGTTAACGAATAGGACGGGGGTGTGCGATAGACTTACCTCATCGTGGTGCACCCTGGACAACGTAGACTCATACGGCAAAAAAGTCTATTAACCGGCAGTTGACTTCTGACTTCAAACTAGTACGACCCCCCTGGTTGTCATATTCAACCCCTACCACAGTACTCATCTTTACCTTTCTGAGCCTTTGTGTCTGTCTGTTTCTTGTACATCTTTGAAATATTCTTCTGTTCCCCCCCCCCTCGCTCTCGAATTTTTTTCACTTTGACTTTCCTACCCCTCAGTGAAGCCTGAAGTGAACTAAAGGGCTAATGGTAACTATCAAAACGCCTGCCATTTGTTATAAATAAATAAATAAGATTAGGACGATGATCATTATTAACCAGGCTCAAGAGTGCAAACCCTAACACTTCAATAACAGTCAACTTGTCTAACTCATTTAAAAATAAATTTGAAACTTCTTGTAGCAAGAATAAAAGCATATGTGCTCTTCAATAAAGATGTTGGTAAATACTGAGCACGTGTTATTAAAATGCATATTTGATAGGGATGGCAAGAATGTTTTTTTTTAATTGTTCAGCATCAATACATTTTGGATGAATATTCTGCTTTCTAAAATTCACTTTATTTGTGTAATACTAAGTGGTAAATTGTACGAATAATTTTGAGTGCTTTGTAAACTTCTTTTATTTATGAATTCAATTTTCATGTTATTTTTTTAAATTTTCTAAACTCTTGACATTCTAGCAGTATAAATTTACATTGTTTTCAAACTAATAACTTCAAGAAGATATAAGAATTTTTAACTTGTAGCTTATTGGCACACTAATAACCCCTGACGTCAGCGATCATACCACGTAGAAAGCACCGGTTCTCGTCCGATCACCGAGGTTAAATTACGTCGGGCCGGGTTAGTACTTGAATGGGTGACTAGGTGATAACACGCGGCGTTGCCGACTTTTTTTTTGGGGGGGGGGTGTGCGATAGACTTACCTCCACGTGGTGCACCCAGGGCAACGTATACTCATACGGCTAAAAAGTCTATTAACTGTCAGTTGACTTCTGAGTTCAAGCTATCATGATCCCACTGTATGTCATATTTGACTACTTTCACAGTACTCACCTTACCTTTCAACTACCTTTGTGTCTGTCTCTTTAAAACACACTTCTGTTCCCCCCCCCCACCCCTCTCGACTTTTTTATATGATGCTCCTTCCCCTCTGTGAAGCCTGAAGTCAACTAAAGGGCTAATGATAACTATCTTAAAGCCTGTCATTTGTTATAAATTAATAAATAATCCCTGACTATACTCAGTAATCTCCTATGGCAGATTCTTCTAGTTTCGGAAAGCCCCCTGGAATGAGCTAAACTACCGCAATGCTATAGAGGAAGCAGACGTCTCACATGAGCCATGTGTGCGTTTTATGTACGTTTGTTAGGCTGCATCTGATGACGTGAAGCTGAATTATCAAATATTGTTTGGGTACGATAACACTGAAATGACAATTAACTATTGATTGGTCGAGATGTCTTTGCACTTATGACCTCATTTCCTCCCTAACGCTACCAGCACCGCGTCCACACCTCCCAGAGTACTCGAGCGTACAAATCACTCTCTCGTTCAGTCAAATTAACGTTATGTTCCCCAAAAAACCAAAAAACTTTTTTTACGATTTCATTGGTTAATTGCGACTAGTCTTCAAAAGCACTCTTATTTACATTATAAGGAAAAAAACTGTTGCCATTCATGATTGGCAGTCTGGACCTATTTAAATGGAGTCAAACCAACATGAGAAGTAATGATGCGTTTACATCACTTAACCTTACTGTCATTATTAGCTACAATCATTCTCAGTCAGTTTGCTGATTTCGTGGATGCCATCAATACTGCAGATGTGGCAACATTGCTGAAAGTGCGTTCATCAAATGCTTCGTGTAGTAAGTACTTCGAAAAATATTGCGAGGTAAAGGATATAGAAAGTCCATACTGCGTTTATCGAAAATACAAGACAGATGTTGAACATGAAATATTAAGTAAGTTGAAAATAAAAATTTTTTATTACTTTTAACTATTTTTTGTATCAAATTCGGTCATTCACTTAAATAATAATCTTAAATTCAAAATAAATTAAAGAAAAGTTATTTTTAAACCGGTTTCTCTATACGCTGAAGCAGTGATTAATTGTCCGTTTCAACTGAAAGAAGTTGAATAATTTCAACAAAACGTGCTTATATATAATTTTGATTGAACTTAATTAAAAATCGTTATTAATTTTAAATTCATAATTTTCGAGAAAAAAAATAACCGTGTGAAACATTTGTAACTATCATCAAGGAACCCTCCTATGTATAAGAACTAGGACCTTTCGCGCACATTTTACGAAGTTTGATGAAATTAGGCGCTTTATATAGGACTAAAACAAAATATCTCTCTTCTAACTCAAATCGTTATGAGCTTTCCTTTCCTATTTTTTAAAAAATTGAGTATAAATCTGCAGAAAATCAAATTTGAGGACAGTATTTAATTAATTTTTATTATTGAACTTTTGTTATATTCATTCATTTATATCAAATGGCAGGCGTCTTGATGGTTACCATTAGCCCTTTAGTTGACTTCAGAATTCACAGATAGGAAGGTACATCAAATTGAAAAAGTCGAGAGGGGGGGGGGGAACAGAAGAGTGTTTCAAAGATGTAAAAGAGACAGATACAGAGGTAGATAAAAGGTGAGGTGAGTACTAGGGAAGTAGTCGAATACGACATACAGTGGGGTGATGGTAGTTTGAAGTCAGAAGTCAACTGCCAGTTTCTTGACTTTTTTTTCCGTATGAGTATACATTGCCCAGGGTATGTCTATCCCTCGCCCCCATCCTAATCTTTAAAATGCACACCCCACTTTTGTAATATAAGGATAAGTTTAGGACAATAGATAGAGAGATTTAAATATTTCATTAATTTCCGAAAAATTTTTTTAGAATCTTTGACTCCTTCTATTTTCATTTCCTTAAAGTCGTTCAAATTGCCCACGTTCCAAGTCCAATCGCGGTCAATATTTATATGGAATTAGTTCATGGGATGGTGCATTAATTATGCTAAAAATAAGCTCAAAGTCTCCTAATTGGCTTGATTGTTAAGGTTTCCTGTGTGCTTGATTGTTTCCTACTGCCTGCTGTGATTGAAGCTTTTTACTTCTAGATTTATCACCAAAAGTTCACAAATTCTGCAAAACATGCGGCTTGCAACAACTCCACAAATACGATAATACCATCACCAAAATATACGGAGGTAGAGAATCTGTGCCTCATTCATGGCCGTGGATGGTGAGCATCATTAATACTTGCTAAGACAATAGACATCATTCTATTTTTTAACATTGTACAATATTGTTGTCTCTAAAGGCGGGCTTATTCTTAGTGAATAATAAACTCCATACCATCCTTCGACGTCAATTGCGTCCACAGATGGTTTGTGGCTCGACTTTGATATCTGAAAAACACGCCATTACAGCAGCCCATTGCCTCAGAAACAGTCTAAAAAATATACACATCGTGGAGAAGCAGTGGTATTTTATCAAGAAAACGCAGAGTTTGCTTTTTTTTCTGCGTTTTGGCGATCACCAATGCGATGATCAGTACTTTGAACCCCAAGTTGATATCCCCGTGCTGCGTTTTATGATCTACAAATCTGGTGTTGACGGTCTTGATGGAGATGTGGCGATTCTCGAACTTGAACAACCTGTGGAATTCAGTGAGTTCAGAGAAAATTCTAGTTGCGATCGCTTTAAAGGGGTTTTATTGAATAAGCAAATTCTGTCAGTTATCGTCTTATAACTTGACAGACTAGATGGGAAGTAAATGACCGCCAACAAAGCATTTTAAAGTATTTCACTTAATTTAAGTATAAACAAGTTTGTTTATTTAATTATAAAAAATGGAAGCATTTTTCTTCATCATGATTCAATAATATCGACATTTGATTTCCAAGTTTATATATATATATATATATATATATATATATATATGATTATCTATTTCTCTATTGTTCGAACTTTAATGACCAAATGATTAAATTGATTACTCGATTATCACATCTGGAAATATTTGTTTGATAAGGAAAGTCGTGTATGAGTAATTAATTAGTTTAATAATTTTCTCCACAAATAACCAGTCAGGATGCTGTTTAAATAGATATATAAAACCTTCCACTCAATTCACATGAAAAATTGCTTGTATCAATTGTTGAGAAGAATGTTGCCCCGAATCCAAAAAAGGATTTTCTATCACCGTTCTTCATAAATGAAATTATAAATTGCTATCAACTTTCGCCACTTCCGATTATTCACAAATCTACATCGTACATATAACATCTGAATTAAAAATTCATTCTGAACATAAATATTATTTCGTATTCCTTGACTGCAAAGTATATGTTTTTTAATATAAGAACTGGGGTTGTAATAATTAAAAATAGGAATTTATTAAGTTGAGGTCCTGGTAAATACAGGAGAGTTTTAATTTAATGAAAATTTGTGTAAAATGTCCATAAAATAGGGCTTTTCTTTCTTCGTATTAGAGGGCGGCTGATAGAGGCTACAAAAGTTGATTCCACGAATTCTAACCATGCCTTTTTAGCTGCCAGAAAGAGACCGAAATAGAATGCAACTGTTGTGGTTACAACGGAAGGAGAGCGATGACTTCTCTATATGAATAAATTGGAGTAAATAATGAGATGGTTCATAAAACACGCAGAATTCTAGGAATGTGTCATGCACAGGAATACATTAATTTGAATAAATATGTGGAATACTAGATATGGAGGCATTTAGAGTGGAAACTAAGGCATTCGATTGGTAAAGATAGTAATTTAGTGAGGCTTAGCAGACACACAGAGATAGAAAGAAAGAAAATAGGACAAGGCGTGGATAGAAAAGAGCTGAGTGAAAGAAATGTCTGCAGAAGTTGGCCACCAAAAGGTCAATTGCAGAAAGCTCATCAGAAACATGGAATGTCTAAGTTGTGACAGGTGGAAGATTGGATGAACATTTGGTCAAACTAAAAATCTAAATGGGTGTTGAAAAAGAGTGTGGGGAGTGAGATCGAAGGATCATCTGGGTCGTCAATTAATGAGAGCCGTGTCGATAGACAGACGACAAGATCTGACTAAATGATAGTGGAGTAGACAATTGACAATCTGCCTAATTGGCATTATTACAACCCGTAAATATAAATTTTTTTATGAAAATGGTCTATAAATAAAGCTGTCCAAGCAATTTACATTAGACTTCGTTAATAATATTTTATTTTTCTAAAGCACCCGAGATACATCCCGTGTGCCTACCACCGCCGAATTTAAATCTCGAGGAAGGAACAAAATGCGTTGCTGCAGGTTGGGGATTAATAAGTAAAACTCCACCCATAATGGCTCCAAATCTTCAAGAAGTTGAAATCGTAATTGCATCTCCTGCTAAGTGCCTCGGTGAAAGTCCAGCCTTCAGGTTGGATATGCAAGTTTGCGCTTTCAATTCCAAAACGGTGCGTTTTACACTCCAACATTAAAACTGTAATAATCATAATAATAAGAATATAAAAATTAAACAATTAGCAAGACTGCCTCTTTGACTAGTATGCTTTTGAGGATATATATTCTATGCATATTCTTATTTCTCTATTTTTAAGAAAGTTTGTTTTTTTCACTAAAACAGAGTGTTCTTAACGGTGACAGTGGAAGTGGTCTCTACTGTAAAATCCACCCAGACGACCAACAATGGTACCTCTATGGAACAACAAGCTACACCCTTTGGCCAAACGGTTTAAGTGGATTTTCTCGTGTGCCTTACTACGTGAAATGGATTCACGAGAACATCAAATAACAAAAACCACCCAATTCCTGACTGTATAAAGGGTTTTAATAATTATTATTTTTGTTGTTTGTGCTTATTAATTACAAATTTCATATTCGAATTTGTTTTAAACTTCTTATATTTCACAGAATGAATGCAGTTTGTTAAAATATTACTCAAAAGATTCTCGAAAATATTTATTAACAAATCAAATCAAAGAAAAATATTTCAAAACTAAAAAAATGAGTCAATTTGGAAGGTTCGAAATAATGCGTTTATAAATTGATATAAAATCCGAATTAAACTAATTAAGATGCGAATCGTTTTTAAACGGAAATTCGTGGATTGTCTTACCGTAACAAAATTTTTTTCGATGCGATAAATTGTTGAAAATAACTGTAATAAGTGAATTTCAACACTGCACACTTTGACACATTCAGCACTCGGTTCGAAATTAACCACTACTGAACCAGGGAAGGATAGTCACCCTATGACAGGAACCTCCCAGTTAAACATCTTCCGTTCTCAGTTAATTTTGTGGGGTTCTGTCTTTACGGTTCTGATTCTCGAGCGAAGATTTTTTTCGTTACGAAAGTCTATTCTAACTGATATGTTTTGATTTGCCCTCATTACCTCCGACGTTACATTAATTTGTATCCCTGGCGCTTGCAATCTATAAAACCTCTCTCGCCTATTGAAGGTTTTCCCTATGGTGACCTTTTAACCACTATGCACCTATTCGATTCAAAGTCTTATCGCTTTTGAATAGCTTTAGGAAAGAGCTTTAATTTGGAAAGTAGCGCATTTGGTCTCCCAAAACTTCAACAAGTTTATGCATATAGCATGATATTAACCCTTCAGCGCCAATAGGACAGTGCAATCCACTTTCAAAATAGGTTCCCTTGGTACTAGACTCATAACAGAAGACGCTATTGGTGTTTGGAATAAGTTCAATGCGTGTCTATAGCCTTTGCTTGATACACCACCAAAACTCATCACGTCGGCGTCATCAGTCTGCTGAGAGACAAGTGTGAGTGCAGTTAGGTGCATTATTCAAAAAAAAATTAATTCAAGATTTAAAGGGTAGATGATGCGAACAACATGCAGCAAATGTAGCATCTTAGTAAAAATAAACAGCAAAGGTTAAATCTGTATATATTGTTGATTCAGATTCACTGGTTAAAGGCGAATTCCTCACCCCCCTTCTCCCCCCCCCCCTCCCAAATGTCTATCAAATCTGTATCTTTTTCTACCGTTCAGTATATTGTTTACAAAACGAAGTTTTGTTCGCCATTAAATTCAACAGACTTTACTGATTGCCCATCCATCTTCACACTTGTGGCATATGGAGCTGGTTAATTGGTGATTCTGTCGTACGGATTTGGTTGTCACAGGATCTACGAATAGAGGCTAAGCACCATGTTCCTTCCATGAGGCAGTAAGAATAGCCAACCATATATCACTATACATCAATGGAAGAAGTAACGTTTCTAAACCCAATACCTAACGCTGAAGTCTGTAATCACAAGCAAATTTAAGATATAACACGAAGTAACATTTGAATAATCACAATACAGTGTCTGACATATATTTATTGACTTAGAAAATGTTTAAATTTGCGCTTATTTTGTGGCAACTTAGACTATTTAAATGAAATACTTACATTCTTATTTGATTATTTTGGAAGCGCAGTTCAGTACTCCCATTGATAGAAATGTAGCATCATGAAGTCACACTTAATTTCATAATATCGGACTTCTTTAGTAAGGTCAATTATTTCGCTCATTGGATTTACACCTCAAGCATTGAACTAAGACACAACACTATGCACAATTTTCTACTTATTCGTAAAAATACCACTACCCCCTCTCTCGATCTCCTTTCTTTCTCGACTTGTCAGTCTATTGGCGAAGTTCATTGGCCATTAGTAATAAATTTTGAGAGGCATACTATTCAAAAATTGTCCAGTGATGAAAATTTGTCGCTAAAAGGTTGCCTCCAGATTCCTTGTATTAGGAGATAGCTGAGATAATTATGATTATCTCCCTTGCAGTTTAGTAGTGGAAAATTGATTAGTTACAATTAATTGAAACAAATATTCAGGTATTAGGTAAGTGGAACTGATCAATTGGCTCATTGGTGAAGATCAATAGGGAATAATTGATCGTAGGCGAAGCTTGAAATAGGTTCGATATTAAGACAGATAAGAAACTTTGGTTGTAAATTAAAAATTGAGTACACATTATTTGATACTTAGTAATAATCAATTTCGAATAGTTAAAATAGGTAAATAAAAATAAATTTGTTTCATTGCCAAATAACTCTTGACGCAACAGTATTATTTTTATTATCAATGATATAATACTGTAAGTATAATATTTTATGAATTCAGTCATCCTGCAATTCCTTTTTCCCATCAACCGTTATTTTCATTCAATTTCCAATCTTAAGGTTCATAAACGCAATAATAAAATAATTTTGATTAACTTGTCTTACCTAGACCAATCTTCATGATAATCTGTAAAGTTGGATTTACAAAGCCAAACCACTAGGAGAAATAGAATTAACAATCCAATTGGATATAAGATATCGCCAATTTGGTGTTCTCTGTGAGGAACAATAGACAATTATAAGAGATTTATAATTTACTTTTCTTTTTCCTCAGGTTCGCCATCCTTGAGTCGATAGTACAAGCCAACGATAAATAAAATTACTGCAATTGCTGTTAAAATAACAATTAAAATTATCCGATATGAAATGGCGAATTGGTCAGTCGATGTGTAGCTTTCTACATCAGACATTGCGTTCTATCTTATTAAATGAAATCGAGATTAACTGACTTTTGATTTTATATTTACTTAGTACATTTTAATCACGTGAAATACTGTAATTGCTCATTTCCAGCGAAAAAAAATCACACTTGTAAAATGGTCCATGGTGACGTGATTTTAGCACTGCCATATTACCTGATAATAATGATGTAAATTTCGTCATGGTAACTCCTGTTAAAGGCGGTTCACGGACAGTAGTACATTAGACTCATGCTAGGTGCCATGAGGGCTGTGAAATTATATCTAAATTAACTTATTCGAAGCTCACTGATACGGTAGAGACGGAAATAATATCGACTTTACCTAATGGATTTCCAAATTAAATTCTCTAATAATAATAATAATAATCTTTTGGATAGAGATTCCTCGTTTATTTATTCTTTGCTGAAAAATGGACATTTATTTCTTTCAGTCTAAGTTATATATAGGCAGGTGAAGTTAGGAAAGCTGTCTTACAAAATAGTGATAGATCCAAGTCTAAGGTGTTGAATGCACGACATATTGAAGTGGCATTGATTTTTTGCTCTTTTTTTAATGTTGGTTAGGTTTAACCTCTCAAATTTACATGAAGAAAACAATATTATCGTTTTGTGAAAATAAGGCAAGGAACTTGACTACTCAGCCAGTAAATGCCGCCTAATTACCCACATACCAGGTTGTGAAAGTCATTTTTTCCAAGGCCAATTATTATTTAGTTCACGCTATATGAACAACTTTTAAGCAGCACACCAGAACATCATATATTCACCTATCTCGTAACTTTAAATTCAAAAGTCTCTCTTCCCAATCTGAGCCTTCTATCTTCTTCGGCTAAAGCTACCTACGAATTAATATTTTTTCCAATTCTCTTCGCCTCGCTTTTCTCCATACAAACTCGATTAACCTGTATCTATTTACAGCTACTAGAAAGTAAGAGCTATTTTAGCATAGCTCGAAACGGTTTAAATCGTGTATCTAACTAAGGAAAATTGAATACGCAATTAGGATATTTTTGTCTGATTATGGTTGTTAGCGAAATAGACTTTCAGAATAATAAGATAAAAAAATATTTTTTTGAAGGGCCAACAGCATGGCTGTCAATGAGGAAACGCTAATTATTCACGAACAAATTATCAATGGGTCCGGTTTCTTGAAACACAATTGGCGTCATTTTTACAATTTTATTATATAAGTATAAAGAATAAAATTAACTTATTATGATTAATCAAATATCTGTAAATAGCCTATTATCCAAAGATTATTTTTCACTATTTATTTCGAAATTTTCATTTTAAATGCTATTTTCAATACGGAAACCAGAATGGGGTAACGATTTTTAGAGTACTACTGTGTTTTATATTTTAAAATACCACATTGTCACTGAAATATAGATAGTGAAATGCGAAATGTACTATTTCTATGACCCATCATAATATAAAAATTACATTTTTTGATTCTGGAAAGTAACCGACATTGAATTTTGGTAGGTCTAAATAATATTGGTGGTGAAAGAAGGAGGAGGTAAAACTAAATGATGTACAATGTGTCAATGAATCACATTTTTTAGATTAGTTGGCATATTAAAAAGAGAAACACAAAGAGGGAATGGAAGATTTTTATGATCAGTCGATAAAAAGGCCACAGAGCCTGGAAACTGGTGTATAAGGAAAACTGAAAACATTAGCTGGACCTGCAAGTAGTTATACTTCACATGCTCTAAGCAGAAAGTAACTATTATATATTTTGAAAGATCTATATAAGACGTTGAATTCACCTGTGCAACTTGTAGTTTAATTCTGAGTTCCATCCTTCCCAGTTTATAATATTAAGAAATCAGATAAAACATAATAAAAGCATGGAGGCAAATCTTTTATTGTAAAACGGAAACTTTGTAAAAAATTGAAATATTTTATTAATTCGAAAAAATATGCAAAATTGCAATGAATTATTTATGGATCACATTCAAAGCTAGCGACTAAAATTTCAAATAATACGTTCATTTTACTTCCAGGCTTTATATTTCTAGAATGCGCAAATTGTATTTGACATACATTATTATGTCAGTTTATTTATAGGAAAAATTAAAATTTTACACAGTTATAAGTCAATATAAAAATTTCGATTTGAGTAAACGCAATAAAGAATTCAACTGGATAAAATAAATCGAAAATTACATTCATTTATCTTTATGAAGATTTTTCTTTTAATGCATTGAATAAATATAGCAGATAACTTGCGCACAATTTGCTATATTCAATTATGGATCTTACAGTATTAACAACAGACGGCAAGGAGGTTCTTGTTGAAGACATTTTCGTAAAATCTATTCCTGCTTTTCGGGATATAGCAAAGGGTTAGTATTGTTAATTAACTCTCTTAGTTTGAATTCTTTTATTGTAAGCACGATTCGGCATTGACGATCATACACATCATTCATATAGCTTGACTTCAGATAGTTTTGAATGTATACACTTGATATTTCGTTGTCATGTTGTATTTATCACGTGGTTTTGATGGAACTTTTCCTTTCAAACACGCAATTCTTTGTATGTGCTTACATTTTTAAATTCATGTAGCTTAATTCATAACGATTTCAATGCATATTTTGCAATGCATCTGTAAATGCCAACACGAATGAGCCCGTTTTAATGTTCTAGGCTTTTAAAGTTGTTTGGTTGATTTTACTATTAAGTTCGGACACTTTTTCGTTATTTCAAATTAATCATATTCGGTTTATGCAATTTCTAAGACGTTCTTGTTTTTTTTAGATGAGGTAGGTCGAAATCAACCTTGTCTTCATTTTGAACTTATTTAGGTTAATGAAAAATTTTTTGTTCCTGTGAAAAGTGATATTCTCGTATCATTATGCACATGGATTGATTATATTTACCTCGCACCAAGTAGGGAAGAATTACGAAAATTTCTCTCTCAATACTACGATCATCACTATGAAGAACTCAATGAGTTGATGGAAGCAGCACGCGCTTTGCGATTTCTATCATTTGTGGATGTGTATGAGAACTTTCACCACTGGTAAGTTATTACTTTAATGATATATGTCAATTATTTGCTTCTACTAATCCCATATTTTTTGCGCTTTAGATCTCTGATTCAATTTAGCACCCATAAAGCCAATGTACATATTTATGTTCTTATGGGTACCCCTATTTGTTAATTGCGTTGTGTCCAGTTATTTAATCTCTCTAAATTGGGCACTTTTAACGAACAAAATATCTGTTTCACTGGAATTGTTTCCCATATGTGTGTTTTCTTCTCCTCCCTACTCTGTTTACTCTATCGTGTGCTGTAACCTCTTCCCTCTTTACAGTGGGCACTTTTAACGAACAAAATGTGGTGTTTTTTCACCATTCTTCCCGTTTCTGTATGTGTTACCTTCTCTTGTCTTCTCCCTTGTGTCTGTGCTAACACTCGAGAAGGCAATAATAGAAGGCTTTTTGTTTAATTCTATTCTGTTTTGGCTACTCATTTGGGGGATTTTGTTGACAAGGCAAGAGGCTCGCGTATTTGTATGTGCCTGAGTCATTAGTCTAGTTAAGGGCAGATGAATTTGGGCAAAGCGTTTGGGTGGGTTAACAAAATTGCAACCCGGGGGGTTCGGGCTAGGGCTGGATCATTCTAGAAGTATTAAACTTGTCGGTTAGATAAACAACTCATAGAATGCGCACTTGTCCTAAGAGTGGCCCTTCACTACCTTAATGCTGTCTTTGCTTTACTGTCTGTTTGCATCATAAATTATATCCCAACCAAAGGTGAAGCCAGTGTGGTCTCATTACATTAATATTTACTACGCTGATACATAGTAGAGGTGAATCAGCTTAATTCTCATTAATTTACAGATTAAAATAAGACACTAGGTTCCTTTCTAAATTTCCTTTTAAACCCAGAGTTGTAGTGGAAGTGGTATATTGATTTTCTACACTAGACTATTGGTGGGCAATTTATGGTCTCTTCAAGAGAAGAGGTGGGAAATTGGACGTCTTTTTCATTAATTCGATTGGTGAACATTTAATAAGCAATGTAGCTTTTATATAAATAGATGGTACATTTATGGAATGAGCATCACTACTTAGCCTGGTCAAAAAGATTCCATTCGAGTATAACATTATAAAATGTGGGGCCACGAGTATGAAATGAATTCATGCCCATGACTTTACCGATTGTTTGACGAAATTTGACTAAAGTATGCTCGATCATTTATGGAATCGCCATCTTCTATTCAAATTGCCCTCTGCTCAAAGTGAATTGGAAATCAAATACTCCTAGGATCGCTTCAATTTTCTTCCTTAGGTAGTAATGAAACTGGGAGATATTTAGATCGTTTATTCCAAGACAGGCGTTAAGTGGCCATTTCATTATTGCACATTCATCAAAACTGCTTTTATTATTAATTCAATTAGTGAATTAAGTTATATAAAATTAAAAATGGTAGTACCAGCCTACAATCTTAATTAACAAAAGAAACGCTTTGTGTGTATACACGGAAAAATCGCTTTATAGCATTAATAATGGAAGTGACAATAAATATCCTTTTTGAAAATTAATGAAGCTAGATGGATTTTTTTCTCCACTCAGATGAAACCAGAAATTTATTTATTTCAAATGGCAGGTATTTTGATAGTTATCATCAGCCCCTTAGTTGACTTCAGGATTCACTGAGGGGGAGGAACATCAAAGTGAAAAAAAGTCGATAGAGAGGGGGGGGGGAACAGAAGAGTGTTTCAAAGATGTAAAAGAGACAGACACAAAGGTAGAAAAAAGTTGAACTGAGTACTGTGAAGTGGTCCAATATGACATACAGTGGGATGATGGTAGTTTGAAGTGAGAAGTCAACTGCTGGTTAATAGACATTTTTGCCGCATGAGAATACGTTGCCCATAAATAAAGGTGGGACTAGGAACCAAAACTGACGCAAATCTCATGGGAGATCCAAACCGCAATT